GATACTGTAGTCATTTGGGACAGCCGGAATCCAGCAAAAATTCCAAATTTAGGGAGAGCTACCAGAGCTGGCCCATCCTCGAAAAGTTCTTCATTAATTTTTGAAACTTAGACAATTTTAATCGTTTAAGGGCAACTGGGATAGGAAATTCTCAGGCAATTAAATCAGAAATTCTTACATGCGGCTTTTCGTATCTGGGCGAAATGTGGGTGGGGCTTCCTAGGGCGTGGCTGTCAACGTGGTGGGAATAGAAAAGCTTCGCTGAAAATTGTCGCGCTCCATCAAGGTTGTTAATAACCGGCACTTTTTCGTTTAATTACACAGCACACCACTTTCCTCGCATATCGGAGAGCATAGGCAAAATAAATGGCAAAGGGCCAATCAATACATAAAAGTTGGTGGAGCCTATCGCTCAACCGAGCCGAGCTCAAACACAAAAAGGGCCAGGAGAAAAAGGTGAAAGTCAGCTCTGAATGAAACACCCTTCCCAAAGAGCTCGAGCACTCACCACTTTTTGGTACTCAAGATGGGAATATCCATTGGTCTCCCAGGCCAACCTGCATCTGCAATCGTCTAGTAGGAAGTGTTGCCCCACTTCCCACTCAGGGAAGATCCACCCCTGACCGAGGAATGAGGAAGGAAGCCGATCTGCCTCTTTCCGCGACGCCCAACTCAACTCTTTCCGCGACCCAATTCGGATGAATCGCCAGTCCATCCAACCGTTAACGATTCGTTGTGGGAAAATACACTCCTTTGATCGGCAACCGGAACTTCAGGCGCATGCCCACATACCGAGCTCGATAGTTACAACTCGTGGCCGCGGGGCGCTCGATGTTAATCGGGGGGGGGGGGTGGCATAAGGAGAGATGGTGCGTGGTCAGAAATTCATAGCTGGCGGGAAAGAAACGGCAGAATCACTAGACTCAGCGATATTACGGGGTGCTATCCACGCCATATTTACAACTGCTACATCATATTTCCGTGGCCCGCAGAGTCCCATGTCGCCAAACTCGATCGGAAACAACTTCCCCATTGAAGAACTATTCCGACTCTCAAAAAAAAAAGTTGAAGCCATAAACCGATGGAAGGACAGAGCGATTAAAGAAAGAGCAGTTCAGTCAGAATGCGGGGCGATTTGAGCACCATCTCTCTCGATATACGGAAACTGCTACCGATTTCTTCTTTCAGATGCTACTTTTTCAGTGTACAACGCCTATTTGGGATCGTCTTGATTCCGTTTGAAAATCCACTGGGCCGATCCCGACGGAGGAACTGTGCGACCAATGGTCAAATAGTGAAGGTAAGATTCGTTCTGCCTTTCAAGAATGCAAGCAGGTGGTTCCAAATGTCACCAAGAGGAAGAAAATCAGAAGGAAATAGTTTAAAAGCAGTTTGAAACTGTGAATTCAACCGAAAGATTTCATAGAATAATCCCTTAAGAAATGGTTTGATAGTTTGGAAGTTCATTGTCGAGAGTCCTACAAATGTATTAGGAAGATCCAGAAAGTCTCAGTAGTACCACAGAGTAGAAGTTCATGATAAAAATGTTGACTTGGTGAAGTGCCAGCGAAAAACAATCGCCTATCGACGTCCGACTGACTGTCCGCAATCTGTTGACAGTGTCGGATCGATAGTGCGACGGACTGGTTCGTCTGGACGTCGTCAGTCGGGGGAGGAACTGCGGTGGAACTCATCGTATGGCTGGGTAACGCGGCGGAAGAGTGAACTGCGTTGACCTTGATAAGACGACTTTCGAAATCTGACCTTCACACCCCTAACCTCGACCATTGCGTTATCACTTCACTGCCCAGGAATGCGTGAAGGACAACCTGAAGGACGTCTGAGGCAGAAAGCTCGTCAGGCGACCAAGCGCTCACTGGACGTGCAAGCCAATCAGAAAAATGGCGCTATCGCAAGATACGGGGGCATTCTAGGACAAGCCCGAGTTTAGGAGGTTTCTGGAACTATCTGGTGATAATGTGGAACAAAACCAAGGCAAAACCACGCAAGGCCAAGGTCAGTCTGTACTTTAATTTGCCTGCCCCTACGGAACTTCTGCAGAGAAGAGGGTTGAATAATCCCGGGCAGAGATTGATCTAGCGAGCCGGTCAGTGTGTTCCATTCTTACCACAATAAAAGTAAACCTGCTTTTTGACACTCCACCGTATCCGTCGGCTGTTGGCTCTCTTTCTTTTGGATGACCCAGCCTTCCTATGAACCGCCTCCCAACTCACATGTAATAAGGAGCTAGAGGTCCTTACTGTAGTCACAATCTATTGCTTTGGAATCCGAGGCCAACTGAACTTTTACATCTCTGTCGCCGTTCTCGGAACGATGGAATAAACGATGGAATAAACTCTTTCATTTGCTTCGACACAGTAAGGCCTTATGGTAGCCTGTCTGCGCCAGGTTTGTTGAATACACCGCGTGGGTCAGATGGTCCATAATCCGATGGTCCATAGCGGTCTAGAGACTTGTCGCTGAACGTTAATGGGTGGCGTCTCAATAAACACTGGAAAGCTCACCAGTGCACAGTGGTTGCACCCAGAATTTTCTCAGCCCTTTCAGTACACTCTAGTGCATTCGTGTGGACACTGACCAAATGTTTTTTTTTAGCATACGGATACGGGCCAAGGCACTCCATTTGTGACGCGCCCTCAGTAGGGGGAAAGAGGTTCACAGTGGACGCTGGTCTCGCGTCTAATTGTTCGTGGCGATAGAAGAGAAGTCTGGCGTGCAGTATGATGCAACCGTTTTGTGGGCTCCCTCCGCTGGGGCGTAAGGTATGTTCCCGAATGGTTGGGGGACGAAAATCCCTTTAAATTTTTTGTTTTGAACGATACTGTTTCTTCATTTTCAGTGCATGTTTACTTTAACCTACACACATATATTAAATGTAGGCCCTTTATCAGGACAATCCCAGTTGGGAAGACAGAGAAAATTTAAAGGGATTTTCGTCCCCTAACCCTTCGGGGAAGCATACCTTACGGCCCCTGCTCTGGGACAGCAAAATGCCTCCGGTGAGCAATTGGTCTCAACTTTTCATGTTGCACTACTACGACCAAATCGCATTGAAGAGAGCATTGAGCTTCGTCCACATTTGTTTGCGAATGTTTCAAAATGACCTCCAAAGATTTTGCCAGATGAAGAAAATGCGCAAGACTTTTCTGACAACCTGATACTTTGTCCTTTTTTCTTTCGATGTTGAAATGGCAGTCAGGCAGACCGGTCTCCTCCTCCCCATTAAACCAAATGCCTCAATAGGACAATCATGTAGCGCTCTGTCGATGACGAGGACTTAGAAATTGTGAAATAACCGGAAACCTAGACGAGTCATGAGTGATGGTGAGACCTCCGCCAAGAGGTGGTTCGTGGAGTAAAATGGTGCCAAGGCGGTCACATATGTATACACCCGGCTCGGGAGCATTTATAAGGGCACTTGCGCGTGATGTTGACAGGAACGGCGTATGTCTGAGTGGCACGCCATTCAAGAAGCGAGATGAACGACAGCTTTCTTTTGTCATCAGGTCATCCATCCATCCAGCTTGGATAGCTCTAACAATATCGAGCAGAGTTGCTCTAATTAATGCTAAGTGGCGCAGTCGCAATAGTTGGCACAAGGTTCTTGTGTGGGAGATCGGATCTCAGTGAGGCTAAGCAAACCATCTACTTTAACTAAGTCGATTTATTGTATGGACTTTCATGACGTAAGGGTGTATTGTTTGCTTTGCCTCGCTTTCACTGAACGCTGTACGCTGATAGTGCATTGCATGTATAGTCACATCAATTGAAGTTCGAATGCATGGCGCATTCTAAAAGTACGAGCAATGTCTCCAGTTGGCCCTTTGTTTTTTATTCATGGTTTAATTTGGATTATTTGGTAGTTGGGGGATAAAAAAAAAAAACATAAAGTTTTTCCAAGGAATTAGGATAGTAAGTCGCTCACATTGCAGTTAGAACTAAGTCACCAGTCATACTAGTTAGATCAAATGCGCGGGTGATCAAGGATCCGACACAACACGAGTTTAGTTTGTACATCTCTTATTTTAACAGTGGTGTTAAAGCTGTCGCCATCGCATTTTGACTCCGCCCCTTGATGCGGTAGCTGCTGCAGACGAGGGTGCTTGTATGATCATTGCACAGTTAGAGCACATATAGTAAAAGCGTGGTGGATGATGAGGATGGCACGCTACAAAAGTAGCGCATTCTTGGTTGACTGCGACCTGAACCTAAAGGCACATTCCATCAATGAAATAGTGTGAGGGTATTGGGGGCCTGAATAATGAACTTAGAATAGCGAAGATTCACCGAATGAGAAAGGAGGAGGAAACGCCGCTCGCTACTGATCTGGAAGAGACCTCTTTTTTGAGGACGATTTATGACAATGAAATACCAGCAACGATGAGAGAGTACTGACGTCAAAGACGGGGATGTGGAAGCGAGAAAGAGACGCAGACAGCTCGCGAAGGCGGGTGCGCTTGCTTCTTCACAGCTCTGTTAGCGGGGCGTTTTCTCGAAATATGCTTCAGATGGCCTTTGATGATTTTAGTTTTCAAGTTTCGTAAATGTCCTTATCTGGCTGGGAGTTCACCTTTTAAGTTATGATAGACAAGGGTCGGTTGATGTTCAAATTAAAGAAATCAACAGTTATGAAGTGAAGTGATCATGCATTCCTTGAAAAAATTTCATTTAACACTAATCAGTTTATCCCTTGTGGGTCTCGGAAATCGGGACATATTCGAAAGTTTCCAAAACTCTTGCCGTCACAATCGTAAAGCCATATTTATTCATAATAATGAATTATTAGGTATCTCAGCCATTCAATATTCAAAAAGAAAGGCATCCAACAATTCAATCAGTTCACCAATCAAATAAATAAATAAATAATACAATAAGAATCTAGATTGACACTGAAGAGATTCCAGTTCATCGAGGTAGGCTGCAGTTTTCAAGAACTAGTCGCCCTGAGTTCATTCAAGCAGAAAAATTGGTCCTTAAACTCAAGGCATCGGGTGGTTGCATCCGATGTCCATGGATAGATATAGTAAGATTGCTCCAGGATATTTGCCACGCAGTACGGTTTCGGAATGAGGGAAAACGTTGTGCGATTTCTCGTTGTGTATGGGGGCAAAGCGTCCAACACGCAGCACTCCCTGCATGACCTCCACGAACTCCTCGTATCGCGATTTTGGTCCAGGAGCATGGAACTGCAAATTGGAAATTGAAGTAGAGTGTGCCATCACTGAATTTTAGACTGAGCTTGCCGTAGAACCACACCCTTCCCCCTCCCCATTCCCCCACTCCTCTAGGGGCGATTTCTCACTTTGTAGAACCTAATAGTACTCAAAGGCACATTCCACAACTGACCAGGTAAGGGCTGTTGCCTTAAAAAATGAAATTTATTGGGATAGTTGATCCACCTGGATGAATGAGAACTAAGAAAGCGCCAGGAGCCCTCAGAATCGCATGGCGCGCTCTCCTGTGCTCGTGTTTGTGGCCGCACTACGAAGAGGCATTTCAAAGAAGACGTCTTCACGGTAAAGCGATAGGGGCGACTAGTGCGAGTTACGTAGGGGCGGGAGCGCCATGGACTATCTCTATACGAAGTTATTACGATGACACTCACCTCAACATTCATATGGCAGATAGCAATATTCTCGTCGGCAAACACATTATCGATTGCTATCATCGGAATCAGCTGATACTCCGGACCCTCATTGTCGAGAATCATATGATCGATGTGCGTTCGGTTAATCATCTTCGTGAAGAACTTAGCGATGTCATATGGACTATGGATAGATTATATCACCTAAACATAAATATTATAGGTATTTATTTGGTTGCTTGTAAGTAAACTGAAAGAGCAATTCAGAATGTTCCCATTAGCTGTAGTTATTTAGGAACTGTTGATTGCAATTTTGATAAGTGAGAATGCATGCTCTTCAAGGAGGTTACAGAATCATTATTGCACCCTTTCTGATGAGAGGCGCGAGCGCGCCGGATGGCCCGCGTGCGGTCGCGTAGCGTCTGCCCTGAAGGGAACCCAAGATTTCGGAAGTCTACGGTTCTCTTTAATTTTCACTCATGTCAGGCTAGCTTTCATAGACATGAACCCATTCCGCATGTAGATTTTCCTATAACTCTGTGGGTACGAAGCCGCAGCGCAACCGCACGCGGTGGCGTCACGTAACTCATGATTTATCTGCATCTTCGAATGATATACAAAACTAACAATAAATTCTGTCTGATACGAAATTTTTGAAGTAGTCGCAACTAACCATAAGCTGTCACTGCATAGTATTTAATGTGAGCAGATGGCCATTATTTCATTTAAGCGCGAAACCGCATCGCGACGCACGCGGAACTTGTGCAGATCTCTCGATGGAGTAGTCTTGGCGATTTCTGTTTCAGGGATTCCGATGCGTTCCATTATCAGACGTCTATGTGAGCTTGGATGGCCAGAATGGTCACTAAAGCCAGCGGGAGACATTCCTACTTGAGCCCATACAGTCGGCATTAGGGTGGGACTGAGCGTCGCACCGAGAATTTGATCCTGAAACGAAGTTGGGGGAAGATTGGGAGCTGATGTTCTCAACAAAAAACTCACCTCAGGTAACTTCTTCTTTAACTGTTGCTATCCCTGATATATCGGCACCAATCCCCAGGGAAACGACGACACTTGGTTCGGTAGTCTAAAAGATCGGAAATTACTGAGGTGGACTGATAAATGACAGTTGGCCAGTGGGCCTGATAAGAGGTCATGGAACCCACGTCTTGGCTTAGGATGTAGTGCTCACTTGATCATTCGTTCGGGAGTTCGATCAAGCATTGACTTGGAAAGCAGTGTTCGTATGTGCGTATGGGGCTTCGGGCAAATTTCCCACAGCTGAAAGATAAATAAAAAGGTTCCCAAGAGTTTGCTAAGGGTAGGCTAATCTGCAAACTGGTGGTACCTTTTCGGGCTTGTCCTTCTTGCTGTCGAACGGGCGGTCATACAGAGCTGCCAGTCGAATGAACGCTTGCAGCACCCTCTTGGGGACTGCTGAGGTTCGAGATGTCACTCGTAGGAGGACCAGGAACAAAGAACAAGCAACACGACGCATGACACACCACGAACCACTGTGAATCGCATCCCTATTAAGCGAGTAGGCATTCTTTCAGCGAGATAATACGACCTGAAAGTTAGCAGTTAAGAGGTAGAGTTGGCTAGCTGGTGCTACAAAATAATAAGAGGATCAACGGGTGATGGTGAAGACTGAAGATCTTTGTACAGTTCAACTACGCACTCAAACGCCTGTGCATCTTTCGGTGGCGCCCGAGTGTGTGGCGCATCCCAAATCGATTCATTGAGGTGTCAGTTTCTCCTAAAGCCTGGGTAGCGTGGGTTCATGGTGAACAGCACTGGATGGTTCATGGTGAGCCCGGATGCAGTGTGCCTTCCATTTCATACAATCCATGTTCCAGGTTCCACAAGTTATTGATTTTTTTGGGGGACGGTGCTTGGCCGAGCTTCTCGGTGTTCCATAAAGGCCCAATCGAGATTCAGAAGCTATACAATTGCTTCCAAATGTTAAGAGTGAATAATCATCCATCATTCTATCGCCTAGTATAGCTATTTCTAATCTGAATGGTAAGAAAACTCTGATGCTATGACTGCCGTTGCGTGAGTTCATGGTTCGTACACGCTGCGCGTCCGCGCGCGTCAAAATGCGCTAGGCTCAACACTAGTCAATCATACTGTAGCAGTTTTCTGCTGAATTCTACGCTGTCTTGCCTCTGTGCTCTAACGGCAGCACCAAGACGGAATCGAGAGGTTTCGCCATTGGAAGCTGAAGCGTGCACGGGTAAAGCATAAAGTACCACTCAGTATCGAATGCAGTAGTCATTAAGGCCGCGTTCATAGTTCGCGACTCGGGAGATTAGGATAGTAGGCGACAGGATATTAGGATAGTAGTAGAGTAGGAGATTGCGCTGACAAGATTGGATACGTATCGATTGAAATCGCTGGAGAGTAGTAGATTGGGCGACTTCAAGCGAATAGATCAATACATATCTAATCTTGTCAGCGCAATCTCCTACTCTACTACTATCCTAATCTACTACTATCCTAATCTCCCGTCAATACATATGTTTTTCATTGTCGCGTACTATCCTAATCTCCGGAGTCGCGAACTATGAACGCGGCCTAAGAGAGCACAACAAGAGCATAAAACTGTCGCACTTCAAACTGGTATGACTTGTCTATGGCAGTTTGTCGCCTGCGCTGCGGATGCGTGACGTGTTTTTTGACAGATGTGCAAGACGCTGGATTCGGGTGAGCTGACTGATACTACAGTTTATGGTGTCCCCTCGATGGGCCGGGTATTAAGTAAGGCTACGAACTTTACGAATTACAGCGCTTACTATCCAATTCTATTCGAAAGTGAACTGTCATTGTAGCGGTCAGCTTTTCCACAGCTTCCTGCCATGACAGCAAGGAACGCGCCACGACTCCTACTTTGAATACAAATCCCGTAGAAATTTGACTGTGGGCGCTGGTTAGAAGCAATTTAGTTTGTACTTGAACAGCCTTCGAATTCGAAATTCAACGACGTGGTCGTATGTTTTCCACCGCTCAATTCATGCTCAGCTATGATTGTCGAGCGACAATTCAGCATCTATTGGGGGTTGAATAAGATCTGAGGGAGGCCAGCTTTTTAGTAGATACGCCATGCTTTCGAAATCAGCATAGAATAACGGAAGTATTTGAAGCCTTATTAATCCATTGAACATTAGTAGTGAAGTTGAAAGTCTATGAAGAGCAGCGTAGGTCGTCCAAATAGAGGAAGAAAAGCAGCAGCGCCGCTAACACCATAGCCAGGAGTCGGCCCATGCCGACCTAATGCTGTGGCTGAATGGGACCAAAGAAAGTGAGCATTTCAGGTTTCGCCCAATTTGCGACAGTCGGTATGGTTCAATGGGACAACAAAGAGATCCTATCTACGGTATCTTCGGTTGAACAGGAAATGCACTCGACGGAAATGAACCCGGGGAAAAAGCACGCACTCGCCATGGCGATCGCGCTCACTGATGTGATTTTCACTAGACAAATGGCGAAAGTGAGCCAGGTAATCCATTTCGCTTTCACTGAATTATTAATAGCTGGATTATTAATAGTTAGATTTTTTCTGGGGAATCAATTTGCTGTTTTCTCCCATAAGGTTTGCGAATACCCAGAAAGAGAATTATCCCATGTAAAAGGTAGATAGAATCTTCTGAAAAGCTGATAATAAAGAAACACAACATGACATAGCCCAGTGAGAGAATATGCAATGATTGGGTCCAAACATGTTGTGTGCCAAACAAATTTTGGCCACACCTCCCATACATCGGCCACGCCTCCTTATTGCAAGCTTCCTTCTCCCATTGGTACATACGAAGTTCGGGTGAAATTTGTACTGTCTACGAAAAGTTATATCAATATGTGGAAGAAAGCTCCAGATTTCCATGTATCATATTTTCCGCAAGGAAATTGGGCCTTAGCGAGGAGGGTTAGCCGGAGTGACGGCAGTGTACTGCCAGCAGTGGTCAAGTATAACTCGAAGGGTCTTCGGATGGGTCCAGTTTTGAAGGGAGGGCCGTGCTAGTAGAGAAAAGTGTCACTTCACAGCTCTATTTTTAGTGAAATCGAATTCTATCCAAAAGCTGAATATTTCGGCTTTTGGGGACCAGAATGGGGTCCTGGTGGGCTCACATAACTGGCTTTGCTCCCATACAGCTTGCTACTGGAATGGCTCTAAGTTTATGAATGATCATGGGACGTGATGAGTGTTCGGAGTGGGCTGGGTCGAATAGGTAGCTCAAGCAATATATTTCTGTTGTTTCGGGAATTTTCCGAAAAACTTCACGGATCAGAAGGCTACGAAGCTAGTTAGGCAACAAGATGACTTGTATTGCTAATGAAACGTGAAAAAAAAAAAGTTTCTGAAATCTTCGTTGACGGGATGGTCCAGAAGATCAGTTTTGGAGAGCCATACTCCAAGCCGGGGTCAACCATCCGTTGAAGAAAGTCCAACGAGGGGGTCGTATTCGCAAGGACCTTGAAAAATCTTGCGTAAGGGACCAGTGGCAATCCTACAACCACGGGGTGACGGAGGGTCGTACTGCGACGCTTTACGCTTTTTGAGTGCTAAAAAAATTGCGGTCTCACTGCATATACCTCTCCCTGCTCGACGGCTATTTTGGAGGAAATGTGGGTGGAGTTGGGCTGTGTCAACTGGTCTCAGAATCAAATACTATAGTAACAGCTCTGATGGTAAGGGTGGTGGTCGGTGGACCTGAGTCTCATGGTGGTGGAGGGGGGGGGTCGTGAAAAATTTCCAAAAAGTACCAACGGTAGGGTTGACCCTGGGGGGGGTCGTATCGAGGCCCTCCAGAAGGGGGGGGTCGTAAAATTTTGAAATTTGTCCAACGTGACGGTTGACCCTGCTCTAAGCACTTCAGTCCAATCCGATTGGCACCTAGCTAGCCGAAGAGGAATTTGTCTTCAGTAACGCACGTTGAATCTGATTTTCGATGAAAAACCCTCAAATGAGAACTTCCTTTCTACTGCACCGTTTCAGAATTGTCTTCATCCTGAATCCCTTTGAATAAGAGGCTATGTGGTTATAAATGAGTGAATAAAAGGCTCAGAAAATCGAAGAAGCAAGAATTTTCGTGAACTGGGCTACGTAACCCGCTTTCAGTCAAGCCGTAAAGGTTTGAAAGGGTAGGTCAGCAGTGAGAACTTCTTTGCGCCAGCCAAGGTTCATATCAATAAAGTAGTCTTCCTTAAATTTTGCTAACATTTAGCCGACCCGGGGAAGGAAACAAAGGCGGTGGTCGTGATGGGCAGTTCAAGAATCCTGGAATGAAGGGCGGGGCATTTAGTCCCTACATTACCTTCGGCCACGCCGGTTCTTTGATAATGCCAATACAGCTAAGTAGGTAACCACCCAGAAAATAACCCAATAACGACTACTATATTAGTGATACCTAAACTATAATAATAATGTAATAATTGTGAATATTTGCAATACAAACCTGCCCATCCTAAATTATTTTTCATTTTATTTCTTAGTCGATACTACCCAAATTGAAATTTCAAAGGATCAGGAACCATGTGAGACATAAAAAATATATAATAGAAATTAGAATTTATAAGTTCTTTTTCTCGTTTGTTTATTATTTTATGTATTATTTATAAATTTTGCAACTAATAATTCAATTCATAACTGTTAACATAATTTTTAATATTTTGTCTTTGAACCCTCGAATCTCAGCAGTTCCATCCCTCACCTGTGAGTGGAGACAATCATTAGGCTGACCATACGAAATTTGAGCTTCTAGGACTCTATTCTAACTAAAAAAGAATGATGAAGTAAACTATGCGAGGAATAAAACGGCAATGACACAATTTCAATTGAACGAACACCATCCGGTCAATAACGATCCGCATATCTCTAGATCTTAACGCGCGTTCTACGCTACGCGAGATTTGTCGAATGGATCCTCCTGTAGGCCCAGGGAACTTCTGGGTCAGCTGGTACCTGCGGAATCAGACCCTACTTGTGGTAGGAAAGAAGCGAGAGAATTCCGTCCAAAAAACGCAGTGTCCTCATTGTATTTGGACTAGTGGTTGACAGGGTCTTTGGGGAAAGCCACTGATAAAAGGATAAAATAAAGGATAAAGCATTTGCCGTTGATCAATCCCTTTTTGGGATGCGGCACGCATTCTACTTCCATTTGTACATTCGTAGTGGCGTTTGAATGCGATGTGGCCTATACAATGACTTGCGGGGGCCAGCCGATGTACAAGTCAGTGTTTTTATCCCAGACAAGTCTGGTACCAATTAACCGACCCCGGAGGGATGGAAGGCTTGGTTGGCCCGGGCGACTCACGACCCAGGATTTGATCCCCGGACCGCTCGCGTGGTAAGCGTGCCACTTGCCACTACACCACTTCCGCCCTCTTTATTGTAACTTCTCGACCGGCTACTGAAATTTCCCGGGAAAATACGATAAAAGTTTGGAACAAAAGCACCAGGCGTTGATCATTCGGGGTGCGCCACGCATAATACTTCCA